GGATAGCCTGAAGTCTTTACAGAAACCCCACTGCAGTCTCTTTTGAAGCCTTCTTGGTGACACAGAATCATTAAAGTCGTAGCGCACAAATAGGCGATCAAAGTGTTGAAAGAGATAAACATGTGGATCTGTTCCCACAAAGGTCTTGACCTCCAGAATTGCATTTCTAGATGTTTCGCTGTCCTTTCGTCATGTGCCTTACATCCCATTACACAGTGTGACTTATACAATGGGTAGTGCAAAGTTCTCGGGGCTTTAGAAGAAGATTAAACTGTGTGAGTGGCCAGTGTGATCTGTCAGACATAAGGGGTGGATGTGTTTCCTGGGACCGCCATCACCAAGTGCCAGAGACTGGAGGCTTAGGTCAACAGATTCATTCTGTATCGGTCCTGGAGACCAGGAGTCTGAGGTCAAGGTGTTTCAGGGCCACGCTCCCTCTGGAGGCTCCTTCCTGCCTCTTCCAGCTCAAGTGGTTCCCGGTGTCCTTTGGCTTATGGTCACATCATTCCAGTTCGGTCTTCCTCTCTGTCTTCACATCTTTTTCGCTCTTTGTATGTATCTGTCTCTCTGTCTATGTTTTTCCTTTTTATAAGCACACAATTCAGATTTGATTAAGGCTAACCCTAATGATCTCATTTTAACTCAATTACCTTTGTAACAATCTGTTTTCAAATAAGATTCCATTCCGAGGTCCTGGGAGGAGTGAGGCCTTCTACATATTTGGTGCAGGGGGATGGGGGGAAGGCACATAGTCCCACCCATAACGAGAGGCAGGTGGACAATGTTAGGTTGAAAAGGTTCTCTGTAGAGGGGGATGTTTCAGACTTTGGAGGACAGGGAGGTTCCCAGGAGGATGAGAAGGAAGATTGGAACCCACAAGAAATAGGAGTGAGTTCAGTTTCTACGGTAGCAATAGAAATTGGCAAAGACCTGAGGGTGTGCGCATGCCCAGGTGGTGTTAGGAAGGTCCTGAAGTGATGAATGAGTGATTTGGCTTTTCAAGTCGAGGGGCAGCTCTCTGTATAGTTTGGATGAAAGCGATTCTGTAATAAAGGCGTTTGTCACCAGAGTTTTGGCAAGATGGGACCACTGAGAAGCAAAGGAAAGTCATCCCTCTTGTTCTAGTCAACTGTGACACAAATGACATCCCTCTCCTTGGACTTTAGTCATGTGCCAAATGCAAGGGCGGAACCGAACGATTCCCAAGTCCTCTTCTCAGGGACAGTCCTGCAGGCTGATGGCACCTGATCATCGCAATTCGGAGATCAGCTCAAGACAAGGGTGACTGGACACTCAGATGTCGGCATCGTCTCTGGCCACCCGTTCTTCAGGGCCCGCATTCGTGTTTTTCCCTGCCGTCAACCTGTCATAGGATGCTCGAAAGTGGAGACTGGGAGACCTCCTCTGCAGCTTTGGCTCCCGGTTTCTCCCTTTCCCCATTCTATCTACCCAGTGGGCTTGAGCGTGTCAGAGTCTGATGGTTTGGTAACGTGACCGAAGCACGTCCACCACGTAAGAACTTGAGGCAGCTACAGCTGTGTTTACATGGCTGTAGTTGTGAGAACAGGTGGGGAACAGGGCGTCCCAAGGGGAAAAGTGTAAGGAGGGCCCTGGGAGTTGCCCGTTCTGATGTGGAGTGTCACTCGTTCCTTGCTGTGATCATAGTTTCCCATAAAGGAAATTTTTTTCACTATTTTTGACAGGGAGGGATGGGGTCTTGCTCTGTGGCTAAGGCTGGAGTGCAGTGGTGCAATCATAGCTCACTGCAGCCTCCAACTCCTGGGCTCAGGCGATCCTTCCACCTCAGCCACCCAAGTAGCTGGGACTACAGGTATGTGCCACCATGCCTGGCTAATTTTTTAATCTTTTGTAGAGATGAGGACTTGCTATTACCCAGTCTGGTCTTGAACTCCAGGTCTCTTCAAACTCCTGGTCTCTTCAAATGATCCTCCCACTTCAGCCTCCTAAGTAACTGGGACTAAGGGTATAAGCCACCATACTCAGCTAATTTAATTGTTTTCTTATAGAAGTGGGGTCTCTCTATGTTGCCAAGGCTGGGCATTAATTTTTTTTTTTTTGGTCAGAATCTCACTCTGTCGCCTAGGCTGGAGTGCAGTGGCATGCTCATGGCCACCACAGCCTCGACCTGCTGGGCTCGGGTGATCTTTCCACCTCAACCTTCCAAGTAGCTGGAACTACAGGCACATGCCTCCAAGCCCAGCTAATTTTTTGATTTATTGTAGAGATGAGGTCTCGCCAAGTTGTCCAGGCTGGTCTTGAACCCCTGGACTCAGGCAGTCCTCTCACCTCAGCCTGCCAAAGTGCTGGGATTATAAATTTGAGTTTTTTAAACAGCTTTATGGTGTAAGGGATATACCATTAAATAAATATTCTGAATTCATCCAGGAATGAGCAGTCTCATATCTGAGTAGGTTTCCCAGTACATGATAATTGGGGTATGGCATAGAGAAACCATCTTGCTTTTTTTTTTAATGTGTTAAGAATTCATATAACAAAATTCACCTTTGTTACCATGTTAGAATATACAATCTAGTGACACAGTACATTCACAATGTTGTAAAACTATTACCTCTATCTAGTTATAAAATATCCTTGTCACCCCAAAACAAGACCTCGTACCCAATAAGCAGTCATTCCTCACCTCCCTCCCCAGTCCCTGGCAACCACTAGTCTGCTGTCTGTCACCGTGGATTTGCCTGTTCTGGACATTTCATATAAATGGGATCATGCAGTATTCGTCCTTTCGTAGTTGGTGTCTTTCATTCCATTGTAGCCTGAGTCAGGGCTTCATTCCTGGTCACAGCTAAATAATATTCTGTTGTATGGATGGGCCACATTTTGTTTAACCATTTATCTGTTGATGACTCTCTAGCTTTCTACAGGTGACTTTTTATTAGCAAAAGTCCTCGCTATGGAGACATACGACCTAGGAAAAAATTTTAAGAAAATCGATCTTGTATATAATATACAATTCAGAGGGCTCAGCAGGAACTTGACAAATCTGTAGATTTTGACAAAGCCTTGTGGCTCTTTTATGGTTTTTAGAGACATGGTTTGGCTCTGTCATCCAGGCTGGAGTGCAGTGGCGCCGTCCTAGTTCACTACGACCTCGACCTGTGCTCAAACGATCCTCCCACCTTAGCCTCCCAAGCAACTGGGACTACTGGAAAGTGCCACCACGCCTGGCATATTTTGAAAAGTTTCTATAGGGGTGGGGTCTTGCTGTGTTGCCCAGGCTGGTCTTGAACTCTTGGCCTCAAGGAATCCTCCTGCCTCAACCTCCCAAACTCTGTTAGGAATACAGGCCTGGCCCCACTTATTCTTTTTTTTTCTCTTTTGAGTTGGAGTCTCACTTTGTCGCCCAGGCTGGAGTGCAGTGGCACTCTCATCCACCCCAGTGTCAACCTGCAGGGCTCCGGCGATCCTTCCGCCTCAGTCTTCCAAGTAGCCAGAACTACAGGCGTGCGCTACCACACTTAGCTAATTTATTTATCGTAGAGACAAGTTCTCGCCAAGTTGCCTGGGCTGATCTCGAGGCCCCACTTATTCTTACAGAGAATTCTCTTTATATTTAAAAAGAGCCTCCATGTTCAATTGAGATGGTGTAGATTTGTAAAGTTTCTGCCAACCTCTCTAAGTATATGGAAAGTGCAAGCCTCTGCTGCCAACAGAGGGCACTGCTGCGGCATGGGGGGAGGGATGATGAGGATAAAAAGACAACTGGCAAACCAGCCCGATGCATCCTTGAGACCACCCAGCCAGACCCCAACCTCTGTCCTTGGGGCCAGCTCGCCTTCTTCAAAATCCTGCCCTTCCATCCTCCAGGTGGCGCCAGAAGCCCAATTTTCCGCAGGGCCTCACGGCCCAGAAAATCTTTCCCAAAGGCGCTTGGCCCCTGACATCCCAGTGTCCCCAGCCTAGCGGTTTCCAGAAACCCGTGATGAAATCAAAATGACATCAAGCCCACAAGGATGCTATGACCCAGATAAAAGTACTTCCTGCTTTAAAGATCAGGTGGAGAGAAAATGTGTGGTAGCTTGAATTTCAGCTCGGAGGATGCAATTCTCTTATTACACCCACCGAGCCAATGTTCTTACAGGACGCACCCACACAGGGGGCATGCGTGAGTTCCGGAATTGCTCATTTTAAACACAATACTGTTGATTATGTTGGTGATGGTGGTGGTTGTGGTGCTTTTGTGTGACAATACCAACAGCAACAACAGACTAGCGATGACACCAAAAGCAGTCATTTGAGTTTTCAGGGGGGCACACCTGGGCGTGGGGCTACTAACTGAGTTCTTGAGTCTTTTCTATGCCACATTAAAAAAATATGTAATGGAAATGGGTTCTTGCTACATTGCCCAGTCTGGTCTCGAACTCCTGAGCTTAAACAATCCCTCTACCTCTGCCTCCCAAAGTGCTGGGATTACAGGCATGCAGCAATGTCACATTTTTTAAAATATAAAGATGTGGGGTACAATTCAGGGTTAGGTATACAAACGTTTATTATGCAGGTACCCTTGTCGATGAGGTGTGCCCCTCCCTCCCCTAGCAGTTTCCCTCAACTGCCAATCCCTTTCTTACAGTATTATAATTGTTCATATGAGTGAGAACATATGGCGCTCTGTTCTTTGTTTCTGTGATAGATCACTGAGTATGATCGACTCCAAATCCATCCAAGTTGCTGTGAAGTTCATATGTTTGTCCTTCTTTATGGCTGTGCGTAATATGCCATTGTGTATATGTACCACATTTTTTTTTTTATCCAGTCCAGCTTCATGTTTTTGCTATTGTGGATACTAAGATGGGTACTGTGAGTTTTGTTGGTTCTGAGTAGCAATAGCAATAATAATAACAGTAGCGTGACAGCGTGAGGTGGAAAGGGGGCATCTGTTTACACAACTAAGTTTTTGTAACAGTCCACACCATTAGCCAAGCTTGCTGATCTTGTGGGCGCCTGTGTCTGTTGCCATACAGGACATGGACCCTCTGTGGAACGCCTGAGTACCTGGCCCCTGAAGTCATCCAGAGCAAAGGCCACGGAAGAGCCGTGGACTGGTGGGCCCTTGGCATCCTGATATTTGAGATGCTTTCGGGGTAAGTAGAGCTTGCGTGGGCATGTCTCTCAGCCTCTGCGACAGTGCGTCAGAGCGTCAGAGTGCCAGTTACTTCTGTGGCCACAAGTTAGGCTTGTTCAAATAAGAGTCAGAAAACACAAACATGTGGGAAAAAACACCCATGCGTGCCCATCGAGGTTTTTAGATCTACATGTCTGTGTCTTCCTTCAATATCACATTAATCTCCACGGGGGCCTTTCTGGGGTAGCCTGCAGAGCTCAGGAGAGCACAGCTTGAGTAAAGATAACTCAGTCGAATGCAGTGTAGTCGTTTGTGAAGGAGCAACAAAGGAGAGAGAATGGGTTCTTTCCTGAAACCCCGAATGTGCTTTGAATGAGCTTTGGGAGTCATGGCAGGTCTCTCCTGCCGTTTGCATTCAGATAACAGAGAGGTTGATCATTTGTCAAGATGTCATGGTAACTCAGTGTCAAAGTCTAGCATGTGCCCAGGACAGCTCTAACATGACTTGACCAGACACACAGAGCAGCCATCACAGCCTTAAAAGCCTCACATGTGGCCAGGTGCACTGGCTCACACCTGTCATCTTAGCACTTTGGGAGACCAAGGCATGAGGATTGCTTGAGGCCAAGAGATCTAGGCTGCAGTGAGCTATGATTGTGCCACTGCACTCCAGCCTGGACGACACAGTAAAACCCTGTCTTTAAAAAAAATACAAAAAGAAGCCGGGCTCTGTGGCTCAGTCTGTAATCCCGCACTTTGGGAGGCTGAGGTGAGTGGATTACCTGTGAGCCCACGGGTTCGAGACCCGCCTGGGCAACTTGGCGAGACCTCATCTCTACAATAAATCAAAAAATTAACTGGGCGTGGTAGCACGCGCCTGTAGTTCCAGCTACTTGGAAGGCTGAGGCGGGAGGATCGCCAGAGCCCAGCAAGTCGAGGCTTGTGGTGACCGGGAATATACCACTGCACTCCCATCTGGGCGACAAAGTGAGACTCCAACTCAAAAAAAAAAATTACAAAAAGAAAAACAAGAACCCTTGACCATGGGCTTCATCCTTGTCTCAGGGTTATCTTGAGTGTGTGTTAGTAAGTCGGGAATTCCCCGAGATGGCTCAAAAGTGTGGTCCCAAGCAGGGATCTGTAAGTGAAAGCTAGCCATGTGCCCAGGGAGGCCGTGCACTTTGGTTCTGAGCTGAGGGTATTCTCTCTGAGATGCAGCCAAGAGGCAGCCCTTGCTAGTGAGCCTCAAAGACACACCTGCATATCCTCCTAGTGTCCTGGGTTCATTTTTATTGGGAGCAGAAGCCGGGCTCTTCTTCCTCTGATTCCTGCCGGGGCACAGACTGAAGATTTCTACCAGGAAATCTTCCCTCTGGCTGGTGGGAAGGAGAGAGATGTTCCCCGGACAGGGAGGCTTGACCTAGCTGGGTCCTGCCCACGGGGAACACCATGCTGGTTCCCAGGGTGTGAAGGACGTGAAATTCTCACACCTGCCTTTGTGAGTCAAGGGCATTGCTGGCTTTGTGGGGAGTAGGGGCGCACAGAGGTTGTTGCGCCAGGGGCTTATTTCTGCTCTCTCCTGAAGAAAGAGAATCCTTCACTTCCAGACTAGCTTAGGAATCAGCGATGGCAACAAGTCCTGCAGAGAATTCCACCACAACTAGGTATGAGAGGACAGGGAGGACAGTGGAGTCTGTGAAAACCTGGATTTCGCTGTCTAATATTTGTTCATCTGGCTATATATCTATTATCTGTCTATCCAGCTATCCATTTATCCTGTGATCTGTTTATATCTGTATACCTATTTCTCCATCCTTCTACCTACCCTTATCTGTCTGTATATCTACCCGTCTATTACCTAACTATCCTTCCATCAATCTAGCTATGATCTGTTTATCCATCCATCTATCATCTATCTATCCATCTATTCCTATCTATATAGGTATACATATCTGTTTATCCAGCCACTTATTCCTATCTCTCTGTCCGTCTATCCATCTATCATCCATCCTTTTATCTGTCTCTGTATTCATCCTCCTATCTGTCTCATCCATCCTTTCTTGTCTATCACTGTCATCTCTCTGTCATCTGTTCATCTATTGTCTACTCATCCTGTATTCCTACTTATTCACCCATCTATCCACCTATCCTTATCTGTTTACATATCCACCCATCCATCTATCATCTATCTAGCCATCCGTCTATCCATCCATCCATCTATATACACCTATCTATCCATCCACCTGTCCCTATCCATCTGTCCATCCATCCATTCATCCATCCGTCCATCTTATCTGTCACCTGTCATCTGTCTGTCGTTGATGTGTGCATCAGACTATCCCTCTTCATCTCCCTACCTACCTTTCCACCAATCACCTATCTATTGGTCTTTTGATTTTTTTCATTGCTCTTTACTCAGACATGTCTATCAGATTATGTGGAAGCCAGTTTTCTTTGTACTGCAGCCCATGAAGTCCCAAGCAAAGCAACATCTTAAAAATAAGGCACGTGGGTCAGTTCCCCACAGACGCTTGCGGCACATTTTTCTGCCATAATGTCATTGGGCACTAGAGGGAAGCGTTGCCTGCAGATAATGAAATCTTGGCGTCTGATGGTTTTTGCTAGAGTGAGGCTCACGCGCCCCAAGTGTTGTCTTTATTATTAGGATAGAACATAATGTTATATAATATTAGTAAACTACAGCGTACTGTTAGATCATGTTATTATTCAAATGTAGTAGATTATTAGAGGCTGGCTGCAGTGACTCACATCTGTAATTCCAGCACTTTGGGAGACCAGGGTCAGAGGATCACTTGAGCCCAGGAATTTGAGACCAGACTAGGCAGTATAGCGAGACCTCGTCTCTACAAAAAATAAAAAATTCAAAAAAGAACATTATTGGAATAGAATATAATTAGAAAAGAATATAAGGCTATATTGTAATTATACTATATTAGACTAATTATGTGAAATTATTATTAGAGTTGTTCGGATATAATATATTAGGACATTAGGATATGTTAGAATATTGGAACACAGTGGAATAAGGAAGAATATAACTATAACCTAACGTATGATACAGCCTCAGGATTCAAATAGGTGATCTGGAATAATTAGGGCCCTCCCGTGGGCCACAGCACAGTGTTCTGAATTGTGCATCTCATACAAGGCAGGGGGACATGTATTTGCAGAAAGCCTGTTTCCACTTTCCTAGTGAGAAAGAGTCTGTATCTTTACTGGGTTTTCAGAGAGTGATAAATCCACCCACATAGCTATGTTCCATGCCTGGCTGACTGCCGGCCCCGCTTCCCCCAAGCCTGCTCGTGGCTTCCATGACGATTAGGGCTCCTTATTCTGGAAGGTTCTGAGATGCTCTGTGTGTGGCCCACCTGCCTCAGACTTTAGTCTGGCAATTCCTTCGAGCAGGGAGTCTTCCCATTGTTTTTATATATTCTTTTTTCTTTAGAGTTGAGGTCTCACTCTGTCGCCCAGGCTGGAGTAGCTCACTGCAGCCTCAAATTCCTGGGCTCAAGCAAGCTATCCCTCCACCTCAGCCTCCTCCTGAGTAGCTGGGACTACAGGGACCACCACTTCTGGCTAACTTTTAAATTTTTTATAAAGACAGGGTCTAACTGTGTTGCTCAGACTGGTCTTGAACTCCTATCCTCAAGCGATCCTCCTGCCTTGGCCTCCCAAGTAACTGGGACTGCAGGTGCACACCACCTCGCCTGGCTAATTTTTAGATATTTCCTAGAGACAGGGTCTCACTGTGTTGCCCAGATTGGTCTTGAACTCGCCTCAAGCGATCCTCCTGCCTTGGCCTCCCAAAGCTCTGCGATTACAGGTGTGAGCCACCACACTGGCCTTCACTGTTTTTTAAACATGCCCTGAAGCACAGCCTGCCCCCCTTGCCTGCAAGTTTTGCAGACTCACCTGTAACCCGATCCCAGAGTTGGTCCCTTGGTCATTCCCTGCCCGACCACCCATCTCCTTGCTTTATTGCACTTAGTGGGCATGATGCCGCCTTGTTTGTGTGTGTTGGTTGCCCATAAGAGCACAGACCCTGAGTTTCTTTCTTCCTTTTTGACCCACAAACTTCTCCCAGTGGCTGGTGGGGGGAATTGATGGACAGACAGGTGGAGACGGCCTGCAGTTGAAGTCCCCTGAGTCCCCTCATGACTCGTGTCTCCCATGTGCTTATTAGATTTCCGTGTCTGACATTCCCACTCTTAGCTTGACCCGGCGAGGCTGTGCCTTGTCTGTGTGTTTGCGGCTGTAGCTGATCATGTGTGTCTTTCATGAAGTACGAGAGAAACCATTTGGTAAAAAAATCTACCATGCGATTAGGATAGGAGATCACATTGTGCCTGGGCTTTTATTTTCCCCGAATGAGAAACGCTTTGGTCAGATGGAGGCCGTGTGGCACATTCTGAAACAAAATCACTCCTGGGCTTTCCCAGTAGCCCTGGGCTCAGCTCTGATTCCTCCCGTCACCCTCCTCCTCTCTCGTCCATCCCCCGTGTGTCAAGAACAGACAACCAGTGGGGGGCAAAGGGCAGGGTGGAGGGGAGGGTAAGAATAAGCCTCAGGGGCACCTTGTCTTTGTGACCACAGCAGCAGTTCTCAAAGTGAGGGCCCAGGAACCCTGGGGTTTTCCAAGTGTGTGTTGGGAGCCGGAGGGGGGGGGGGTCTTTTTTGTGACTGAAGCTCTGTGTAGTGATGGATTTGCTTCTTATACCTGGACCAAAACAGTACAGCCTAGTAGATGGGGTGGAAGCTGCTAGCGAAGGTGGGATTTGTCAGCATTTGGAGCCTCTTCCATGTGGATGAAGTGTTGGCTCTTGGGTACTGGTTCTCAAACATGTTGACCTGGGACCCCTTTACACACTCCTTCAAGTTATCAGCCCACAGAGCTTTTCTCTCCAGGGGTTATATCCATCCACGCCGACTGCATTTGACATTCAAATACATAAATAATATCTACTTGCGTTAAGTAGAATATTACCAAAGGCTAACATAAATAGTATTTTTAGCTGAGCACATGGTGGCTCACGCTTGTAATCCCAGCACTTTGGAGGACTGAGGTGGGTAGATCTCTTGAGGCCAGGAGTTCGAGACCAACCTGTGTAGCATAGTGAGACCCCATCTCTACAAGAAAATTTTAAAAATTAGCCGGACTTGAGTGTTACACACCTGTAGTCCCAGCTACTCAGGAGGCTGAGGTGGAAAGATACCTTGAACCCAGGAACTCAGGGCTGTGGTAAGCTGTGATCGTGCCACTGCAATCCAGCCTAGGGAAATAGAGTGAGACCCTTACTCAAAAATAAATAAATAAATTACATTTTCAAATGATTAAACATATATAACTACACTGCCTAGAACTCATGTATATTTAGTGAGGAGACTGGCCTTATTTATCTTTTTTGGCGATTCTCTTTAATGGCTAGCTTTTAAAAAGGCTGGTGGATTCTCCCCCCTCCTTCTGCACCCTCTCTGGTATAATATATGGCTTCGGTTGAGGTATAAGAAGAAAATGCTTTGCAATTCAGATTTGTCATCAGAAAAAAAAAAAGACCTCACCTGTCCTCTAAATGAAACTTTGGGAATCGAGGGGCTCCCTGGGACTCCACTTTGAGAATCGCTACTGTGGTCACTAAGAGGAGACACCCCTGGGACTTTTTGTACTCCATGCTTACCCCCACCCCATCCTTGATTTGTTTTTTCCATTTTACCTGACAGTCAAGTTCCCCATTCCCTTTTCAACACAATTTTCTCTGAAGAGCACAGATTTTGGTTGTTTTGGTTGTTTTGTTTTGGAGTCTCACTCTGTTCCCCAGGCTGGAGTGCAGTGGCAGCTCACAGCCACCCCAGCATCAACCTGCTGGGCTCCAGCCATCCTTCCGCCTCAGCCTTCCAAGTAGCCGGAACTACAGGCACGCGCTGCCATGCCTGGCTAATTTTTGATTTACTGTAGAGACTAGGTCTCACCAAGCTGGTCTCGAACCCGCAGGCTCAGGCAATCCACCCGCCTCGGCCTCCCAAAGTGCTGGGATTACAGGCTGAGTCACCGAACCCAGCCAGATTTTGGTTTTAATACAAGGTATCAGGGCAGGGATCTTTGAGGAAGAACTCAGCTTGAGGTGAAATTTTGGTGACAGCCCCCTTCTCTGCTCTCTCCAAAACCTGTTTCTTCCTTTTCTTGAACCTTTTCCTCAGCTTTCCATCTTCCAAGCCAACCCCATCTCCATAACTTGGACAGGGAGCACATTAGCTGGTAGTTTGGGGGGCTGGAGCACCTGTGAGTGTAAGGACTCACAGCCCTTTGCATGGTACCTCTTCCTGGATGATCCTTTTGCCTGCAAAATTCAGAGGTGTGGAATGTTTGCATTCAAATTTTCATGGGCAAATGATGGCGCTAGTAGGAAAATTGTCATGAATATTGAAAACAGAACTCTTGATCCTGTGTTCACGTGGATTAACAGATTACCTTGCCCCAGTCTAGCTGTCACCAGAGACAACTTGCAGTTGCTTAAAATGCTAGCTCCCACGTGATGAGCGCTCATTGACCGCCAACTCAGGGTTGGGAGTCATCTACACAGGACAGAAGTTCCAGGGTGCAGGCACCTCATGGGTGTCTGGGCATGATGCCTTTGCTTTTTGTTCAGAAGTTTCAGGGTGCAGGCACCTCACGGGTGTCAGGGCATGCTGCTTTTGCTTTTTGTGATGCTCATGGATTCTTGTTTTTTCCACCTGGTGAATGCCTTTCCCATGACACTGTTATGTCACGTCTGCTCTTCAAGAGCCCTTGCTGTCATGGTCTCCGTAAATGTTTTAAGTACATCTGACACATTTTCTCCTGGAGGTTAACGTTCCCTTGCTGAGTTTGTACATTTCCCCGATGAAGTCACACAGCTGAATGGATTCAGGCAAGGCCAGAGAGGAAGATACTTGACGCTGACCACTGTTAGAGAAAGTTCCTGGCTGGTGGGGTGGGCAGCCTGGGGGTTGTTCACATCTGAGGCCATTGCGGTTTCGAGGGGACAGGGCAGACTAGGTGAGTGTCTGCACTGTTTCCAGCCTTGCCTGGTGGGGTTGGCCAGAGACTACAGAACCAACAGCCCAGAGAGACACTCACGTTCATGGCAAACTGAGAAACTGGAGCCCTGAAATATTATGTAAAAAAGAGAGGCTATTTCAAGTCCGTATAGCACATAGCTAAAAGTTTACATTTACATACTGTCTTTCATTTTCCCATTTATCTCTACTTCTCTGTCAACTTTGCCACTGATTTCTATTTTTGTACTCCATAATTTTTTTTTAACTTTTCTACTCTCAGTTGTTTTTGCAATACGTTTATTCATGTATCTAGACTGTGTAATAGTTTCCTGGGCTGCATGACAAAATACCACAGGCTGAGGGGGTGAAGGCAACAGAAATGTAGCCTCTCTCTGGCCTGGAAATCAGAAGGTTAAAACCAAAGTGGGCAGGGCTGCAGCTCCTCTGGAGGCTCCAGGGAGGATGCTTCCTGTCTCTTCCAATTCCTGAGGGTTTCAGGCATCCCTGGACTTGTGACTGCGTCACTCCAGGCTCTGCCTCTGTGTCCATGTGGCCTCCTCTCTGTCTTTTGGGGACACCGGTCATCAGATTTAGTGGCTACCCTGATCCAGGATGATCTCATCTCGAGGTTCCTAACTTAATTACATCTGTAAAGACTGTATTTCCAAATAAGGTCACATTCACAGATTGTCACGCTCGCCACAGCCTCCACCTCCTGGGCTCAGGCGACCCTCCCTCCTCAGCCTCTCAAGTAGCTGGGACTACAGGCGTGCGCCACCACACCAGGCTACATTTTTTATTTCTTGTAGAGACAGGGTCTCACTATGTGACCCGGCTGCTCTCAAACTCCTGGGCTCAAGCAATCCTCCCACCTCAGCTTCCCAAAGTGCTGGGATGACAGGCGCGAGCCACTGTGCCTGACCTATTTGTAACTTTTTGAGGAACCGCCATAGTGTTCAGTGTCATGGCTGTGGTAGTTTTCATTCCCACCAACAGTGCATCTTCACTAGTGTTTTGTTTTTGTTTTTGTTTTTTGTCTTTTTGATAGCAGCCATCCTAACAGAGACGAGATGACACCTCATTTGTGGTACTGTTTGTATTTCTTGGATGATTAGTGATGTTGAGCCTTGTTCCATATATTTGTGGGCATTTGTATGTCTTTTGAGAAGTGCGTGTTCAGATCACCTGCCCATTATTTAATGGCATTATTTGTGGTTTTTTGCTGTCGAGATGTTTGTATTCCATGCTTGGCCCCAGTGGCGTATTCAACACAGGACACCTTTGAAGGCATTTCTGCTCGATGCTTAGGGCACAGTTAAGGCCTGAACTGGAAGCATCTCACAGTCAAATGTGCATTAGAAGTTGCTTCCTGCTCAGCTACTCAGCAGACACCCCCAAGTGGCCTTTGCCTCCTGTCTGAGGAACTATCCCCTGTACTTGGGCCACGTAGCTCTGTGCGTGACATCTTAGAACCACCCGATGGTCATGTGTCTTGAGAGGGCGATGACTTCAGTGTGCGAGGAAAGGCTGCATGTGAAATGAATTATGTTCTGCCCGTGTTAAGCAGAAATAGCGATCATGACAAAGCAGGGATTCTTTCCACCCTCGCTCGCCTCTAAAAATAGATGTTTATTTTTCCAACAGGTTTCCACCGTTTTTTGATGACAACCCATTTGGCATTTATCAGAAAATTCTTGCAGGCAAAATAGATTTCCCCAGACACTTGGATTTCAATGTGAAGTAAGTAAACCGCTTGCCCCATCATGGGGTGTGTTTATTTTTAAAGCGTCTGAAATCACTGTGAAGGCATACGCCGGGCAGGATACCAGATTACATTCTTAAATGTGCTGAGTTTAGACTCTTTGGTACAGTCATCTTTTCCACAGAAAGGGGGAAAGATTTTAATTATCCTACTTTAATGATGACTTCCTATTTCAATGCCTCTTGACTGTATTTCCCTCTTTTGGAAATAAATGATATTTAAAATTAACAAAGGAAGGAGTTTGTCATCGTTTTTATAAGAAAGCAGTTCCAGTGTTTGGCAGGGAGAATCCCCCTCTCTTAGCTGGTTCGTGCTTGGCAGAACTGTTGATGGATTTAGTACAGTTTTATCCTTTCTCTCCTGCTTAAGTAATACTCATCCTCAAAGTCCTTTTGAACGCTACAATTTTGACTTATGAGTATGTTGTTTCAAGAACATTTACATTTGCTGGATATTGGTAACTTTGGGTATGCAACTGATGAAAGTCTTAGCAAGAGGAGAAAAAAAGTCTTTTTTTCTTTTTTAAATAAGAATGCTTTTGGAGCTGGGCGCGGTGGCTCACGCCTGTCATCCCAGCACTTTGGGAGGCAGAGGCGAGAGGATTGCCTAAGCTCAGGAGTTCGAGACCAGCCTGGGCAATTTGGCAAGACCTCGTCTCTACAATAATCCAAAAAATTAGCCGGCTGTGGTAGTGCACACCTGTGGTTCCAGCTACTTGGAAGGCTGAGGCAGAAGGATCACCTGAGCCCAGCAGGTCAAGGCTCCAATGGCTGTGAATATGTCACTGCATTCCAGCCTGGGTGACAGAGTGAGACTCCAACTCAAAAAGAAAAAGAAAAAAAAAGAAGGCTTTTAGTTTTCCAGATACCTGACTCAATCTGACAACCTTGTAACTACTTTAGCTCGAATGAGTCCTGATTTCTGTTTGTTTCACTGTATTTTCCAGAGGAATCGTTGAGTATACCAACCCTTCCTGATCACAGAATGGAATTACATGCATTCAGTTGAGAACTAAACCTTTCTCTTCTTTGGGCTATTTTTTAAATAGCCTGTGGCAATTGAGTTCACTAATTATTATTATTTTTTTTTTTAGGAGACAGGGTCTCACTATGTTGTCCAGGCTGGGCTCATACTTCTGGGCTCAAGGGATCTTCTCACCTCAGCCTCCTAAAGTATTGGGATTATAGGCATGAGCCACCACACATGGCCCAGAGAAAATGTATTTCATGGCTGCAGACCAGGTTGTCATGAATGTGCCCCTATTGGAGCCACTGGCTCTGTCCAGTTGAGTTTTTGGTGATGAATGCTTTATCCCAACCACAGGGTCTTAGTCTGAACAGAAGATAAGTTAGGGTTTCTCTTCCCTAGGGTGGGCTTGAGCTTGTGTTGTGTTTGACACAGCAGGCAAGCTTTGAAAGAGTTTAGCGAGAAAATGAGGCTACCTTTAGCAGTAAATAATGTAGCAGGGACAACTACATTACAGCGTTGCCCAGTGAATGGTAAGACCCTGAGGTTTCAAGGGAGATACAGCACCTCAAAACTTAATTGTGGGCAACCCCCTCAGATCCCCTCCTACTCTGGGAGCTTTTTCTGTCCTCTCAATAAATCCTGCTTTCTCAACTTAAAAAACAAACAAACAAAAAAATACCTCAATTGTTCTAGAAAGAAATGAAAAGGATTATGTAGGATTCCACTCCAGGCCCCAAATCGCATCTGAGTAGAATGACGTTATTTCAAATGGGTGGCAAAGCACTTTTAAAATCGGGTTAGATGTTATCCACAATTGACCAGTGAGTTGCCTGGATTAAAATCCACACACACCCACTGGAAGGTCTGCTGATTGACAGTCAATTCCACAGCTCACCTAGAATTCTCAGACCGGATAAACCTATAGGGTGTGAACATTCGCTGCTTCAGCACACGTGCACATTAGCAGATCCCAGCTAGCTCATGGCAGCCCTGCTCAGGGGTGACCTTCAGCAGAAAGTGCTTCCAGGGAAATAACCATAGATGTTGTCTTGCTTTCTTTCAGCACTTTCTTGGATAGACTCAAAGGGTCCTGGGCAGCTCAGAAGATCATAGGACTTACTCCCCTTTCTCTTGCCAGAATGACTTAAATTCTTCCAAAAGAAGGGACCAGCCATCCTTTCCAGGACATTTATTCCATCCTTCATGTGAAGGCCCCAGGTTATTTAAAGTAGCATATTGCATAGGCGCCCAACGTTTTGTGAACACACAAGAGCCTGATCAGAGTCTGGTCTCCTGCCGTGTCTCCTTCTTTTTCTTATAGTTTCTGTTTGTTGAGAAGAGAAAACCAACAGGGGCTGTTGTGGTATTGTTTGAAAGTGTCCCTTAGTAGGCATCCCCCAACACTTCCCGTGTCCCTGCCCCCCCCAACTTGGGAACCAAAAGCAGTTGAGTAAGATTTCACTTCTTCCCATGATTTACTAAGTCATTGGATGAGTCATTTTTTATCCAAATCACCCTCACTGGGTGTTCGCCATAGTACATTTTTGCTTCTTAGATTCTTTTTTTCTTTTTAAGTGAGAAAGCAGGTTTTATTGAGAGGACAGAAAAGCTCCCACAGTGGGAGGGAACCTGAAGGGGTTGCCCCTAGATTCTTTTTTTTCTTTTTAAGTTGGGGTCTCACTCTGTCACCCAAGCTGTAATGCAGTGGCACCATCATGGATTCGTGAAAGTCTTATGTTGCTTCACTCAATTTTTCACATTTGACCGTGTAAGCGTGTTGCCTGGGCAAATGACTTGTTGGATTGAGATTGAGATCCATATATAAATATATATAAATAAAAAGAAGAGAAAAAAGTACAAAGCTTTGGGGCTCGTTGCCAACTTGGTAGAAGTATAAGGTACTGCTGTTTTGGAGGGGGTTGTTTGTTTGTTTTTTTCATGCTTAAAAATATCTGCATTCAGAGAGAAACCAGCTGGCACCAGGATTGTAAATAAACTTTAGAATTTTGGCTGCAGTGAGTCAAGAGCTCGCCAGCTGACGCATAGCCGCGCATCCCAGGCCTGAGCCATCCACTCACAGTTACAGATACTCAGAGTTCCTTTATATGGCTTTGTATCATGGGAGCAGGTTCCTTCTCAACTGCACTCTTGACTTTTTAAACTGTTTTGCATTTTAAATAGACCTTTGTTTTCTTTTTTTTTTTTTGAGTTGGAGTCTCACTCTGTCGCCCAGAGTAGAGTGCCTCGACCTGCTGGGCTCTGGTGATCCTTCCGCCTCAGCCTTCCAAGTAGCTGGAACTACAGGCGCGCGCTACCATGCCGGGCTAATTTTTTTGATTTATTGTAGAGATGAGGTCTCGCCAAGTGCCCAGGCGGGTCTCGAACCCACAGGCTCAGGCAATCCACTCACCTCAGCCTCCCAAAGCGCGGGATTACAGGCTGAGGACCTTTGTTTTCTTATAATCCCAACCCAGCCAGTTTGAAGCTTGCGCTAATGGGGCAGCTAGTAGTATAAGTATAGAGGGAAAAGAAATTCACTTGAGAATATTTGAGGAGGATAGTGTTTGATGTTCTTAATTTTTTTGTCATGTCTGAAAAATAAAGGAGCAACTCAGTAAGTCCTGGAAAGGTATCTGACTTTTCAGTGATTTTATATTCCCTGTCCTACTCAAAGCTTTTTCCTCCTACACCAGATGAATATAAAACCTCAGCGTCAGGTGGGTTGATGGTCCCGATTTTCACTTTGAGACAGAGAGGCGGTGTCTGACCAGCTTCCTGTCATCACTGAGTGCAGAGTGTCGGGAAAGTCTATGGGTATAGGTCCTCCTTGGGTTTCAGGGTTTCAGATCAGTAAGGACTGGCCAGATTCACAACCTAGACATCGGAACTGTGACCCTGGAATGTCAACTGACATGTCTGAGTCTTTCCAGCTGGTCACAGAAGCTGGGTATGGTCTGATACAAGTTTGTGCTTCTCACTCTGGGGCGTAGTTTACGTCAAGAAAGCTTAGATGCCTAGAGCTGTGTCATCATGGATATTGGATTGTTTGGGGGGACTTCAATATATTATATGACATGTACTATATTATGTATATTATTATATTCTTATATGTGTCTTTAGTATACTCTGTGTGTTATATATATGCGCATGCACACACATCATCTTTTATACTTCCATAAATGAGCATGCCTACTCTTCAGGAGGTCATCAGTTGCATTGCAAACTTCCTATCCTAATGGAACCCATTTGCGGAGTTCCTGACATGGTCTGTTATTTAATAGGAAGAGATAAGTGAACCAGCAGACCTTAAAAGACTCATTCTAATTTGTGTGTTTAAGGGCAAGGCAGCCTTTTAAAACAGAAATCCCATAAATAAATAGACCCCAGGGCAACGCATGACTATTTATTTTGGTAAAAGCAGATGTCCTCGATTTTGCAGGGACAGGTATATTTACCTGAAGCATCATGATCCTCTCAGGCAGGCACATAAATTTCTAAGGCTCTCCTGTTCAAAGCGCATTTTCTTTATGAAGATGTAATCAGCCCTCTTCCCTTAGCTTGACCCTGTGGGGCAGCCGACCTTGAATAAATGATTCAGTATCGATGACACTAGAAAACATTTTGCCAGAATGGAAATCACACTGAGATGCAGATGGAGTGGGGAGATTTTCTGTCTGTTGACATACTGTGTTTGTTGGGGTCGATATCAAGATGTGTCTGTTCTTTTTTTTGTCTTCTTCCTCTAACTAGAGACCTCATTAAGAAATTGCTTGTTGTTGACAGAACACGGCGTCTGGGAAACATGAAGGTCAGTATTTGATCCCATGGATATTAAGGGGTACCTGATGTAAGTTTCTGAGGTTGACAACAACACGGATATTTACAGATATAAACTAAGGCTCAGCGCTCATATGTCATCACATTTAATCCTCCTTCCTCTGTGGACACTGCTCTGTCCTTTACACTCAGGAAATCTCTAGCACTACATTCTCTTTCCCAGTACTTGGCTTCATGCATATATACATACACACACACATACACTTTGTATATATTCAGCATATAAACTATGAGAATGCAATGTGCATCTATATTATACTTTATATAAACTATATAGTATGTGTGTGTATTACATACATTGCATTTTTATACACTTTATAAAGTACATGTGGTTTGTGTATGTGTCTGTATACATATATATTGCACTTTATATGTGCGTATACTTGGCTTTTCTCTCCAGATACTAAGATGTGTGCTTGCGTATACTTTTTATACTATGCTACACACATGTAGACATACACACAGGATCATGTGCCAGTCAACAGTGAGGATATTTTCTCAGAAAGCCTCATTAGGTGAACTTGTTGTCTGAGCATCACAGAGTGTACTTGCACACTCTTTCATGGGCTAGCCTATTTCACACCTAGACTAGATGGGCTAGCCTGTTGCTCCTAGGCTGCAAACCTGTTCATCATGTAACATGATGGTAAGTATTTGCATATCTAAACATAGAAGAGGTACAGTAAAAATGCAGTATAAATGATGAGAAATGGTGCAAGTGGCTAGGGCACTTACCATGAATGGGGCTTGCAGGACTAGAATCTTTTCTGGGTGAATCAGTAAGTGGTGAGTGTGTGGAGGCCTAGGACATTACCATTCACCACGGGAGACTTGATAAGCACAGACACTCAGTCCTCACTAAGTTGCTCAAAAAAAATCCTTCAGCTGGGCTCGGTGGCTCAGCCTGTAATCCCGCGCCTTTGGGAGGCTGAGGTGAGTGGATTGCCTGAGTCCGCGGGTTTGAGACCCGCCTGGGCAACTTGGCAAGACCTCATCTCTACAATAAATCAAAAAATCAGCCGGGCGTGGTAGCGCGTGCCTGTAATTCCGGCTACTCGGAAGGCTGAGGCAGAAGGATCGCCGGAGCCCAGCAGGTCGAGGCTGCCGTGGCCGGGAGCGGCCACTGTATTCCAGTCTGGGCGACAGAGTGAGACTCCAACTCAAAAAAAAAAAAATTCTTCAGAAATTAACCTCAGCTAACTGTAACTTTTTTTTTTTATAACTGAGATGGCGCTATGTGGTGCCTGACCGTATAGACCCACATCCACTTGTTACACCATGTGCATATGTAATGAGATATATGCATGGAGATGCTTTATACTTTATGTACACACATAAAGTGCATGAGGTGCATGTGTTTGTACAGAAAGGTACCCAAAAATGTAGGCAAATTAAAATTGTAAAACTCAATATATGCATGCACGAGGACGCTAGCATTCATTTGATGGGTGCCATCTTTTGGGTGAGCGTCCTTCTACACATTGCTAGCACAATTCAATTCAACTTCAAAAAGTGACACACAGGTAACATGTCTTAAAATGTGTATACATTTTTTGGGCACACCCGGGTATAAATGTGTGTATGTATGTGGAGGAGAGCATATACACACACAATTTTAGCTGATTGAGGGTAAAAATCAAGTCTTATTTTCATTCACAGCATCACCAAAGGCACAATCCAACAGTTATCTGTTGTCTGACTTAGCTCTAGATGGAAAATACATTTTCCGGTAGGAAAAGAAAAAAAGTATCTAAACAACTGAATTGAATAATTGCAGCAAAATTTACATCACACTCTCCTTTTGGAGATATGGTCGTAGACAGTATTCTTTTTGGAGGATAAGAAATGTAAAACTTTACAAACATGGGCAGTGATACACATGTGCTAAAAACTTGATGTTAAATTCAGATGCACCATCTGTCTCCTGTCTCACAGTGTTTCCATATCTGTTTCTTCTATCTCCTCACATTCATTCCATTGATCCAACTTTCTACAAAAGGGAAAAGGTTGCAGTGGAAGACTGATCACTTGGGAGGGGTTTTTAGAAGTCACATTGCCCACAGTGTCTGCCAGCTCATTCCTGGTGCTGCACTTGAGAATGAACTAGGAGACCTGTATGCACCCTGTGAATTGGGAGGTCATGTCCTTGCTAAGACCCACGATCTCTGAAGGGGAACATCCTTGGTTTGAGTCTCAATTCTGTGATTTACTTGCCAGGTCATTCTGAGCAAGTTACATTATTTAGTGAGCCCTCATCTCTAGTTCTATAGAATAGTGAATAAAATCATCAAGATGAAAACGGGAGACAAACTGAGAAGTGACTGGGTGTCCAGTTTTCTGTCGAGAGGCTGAATCCTGTGCATCTTCTAGTCTTTGGTCTAAACAGCGTGCACACGAGCGTAAGGACTGCACTTGTCTCTGTGACGAAGGAAAGTAAAAGGAACACACACAGCTTCGTGGACAGGTCCCCTTGGTAGCTCATACTCCGAAAACAGTTACTCAGAACACAGCAAACCTGTTTTGTTTGTTTCTATACTGAATAACGTGGAGCTTCTCTGGGATATTTTTCTTCCCTGCTTTGTCAAAACTCTGCACCCTGATGTCACACGTCTTCTCTCTGGAAGAACGGCGCAAACGATGTGAAACGACATCGGTGGTTCCGCTCCGTGGACTGGGAAGCTGTCTCACAGCGAAAACTGAAGGTACAACACCTGTCTAGGGGGTACTCGTCAGGTTGTAGCTCATGGTAACGGGGACCCACTCTGAGTTCTGTAACTTATTGACTGGTTACAGAACTTATTTACAGACTGGTGCCTGACATGGACCCGATTTGTGAAATACAACCATTCATGTCAAGTCATTGATAAGCCAGGTTGCCTAATCAGTGAGCACCTTAGAGCTAACTTCCTGCCTAACTCTCCACATGAATGAGAACATGTGACACTCTTGTCTTTCCGAGCCTGGCTCATTTCACTTCACAGAATGACCTCCGGTACCTTCCTCGTTGCTGCAGATGACAGAATTTCATTCCTTGTAAAGGCCAAATAATATTCCATCTTGTATATGTGTATATCACATTTTCTTGATCCATTCATCCATCGTTGGGCACTTACATCAATTCCGTATCTTGGCTGTTGTGAATAGTGCTGAACCACGTAAGTTTTCATAGCAGTGTTCTCAACTTTGCACTTCAGAGACCATGGAAAGACCTCAGAAATGCTGATTTCCGGGCCCAAACCCAGACCAATCAGAGTCCCCGGGATTGGAGCCTGGAATGATATGCTTCATTGTGTTCAAGACTTTAACTTTAAAATTTTTTATTGTATTAAGCTGCATTTACAAAAAAAAGCCAATTTGAATGGGGTTATATGTGCACATTGGTCAAAAACCAAGTCGATATTGAAAGGTACACATGGCCAGGTCTCCCTCTCACCCCTCCAAGCCACCTGTGGGTAGTCACGTTTTGTGAGATTTTGTCTGTGTAAACTTCCAGAATCTCTTTATGCTGGTAAAAGCCCATACGGAAAGCCCCATTCTTATTTTCTCCACGCATGCTTTTGACACTTGGAATATAACCTGAAGACCCATCTACATACCTCAGTAGCCTTCTCATTCTTTTAAAATTGCATCAAATTCCAGCATGGGACTACCCCATAGTTCATTTACACAGACCTCAGCATATGGAGGACGTGAGTTGTAGCCAATCTTCTGCTACACTGAGTAGCCTTGGCATGATTCATTTATGTGATGGTGACTTTCCAGGAATGAGATAAATGTGTTTGAAATCTTGGCATTTTTGCAACCACAAAGGCTGTGTCCTTTTCCAGCTTCAAGGGAAGCATTGCAGGGTTCTTCTTTCTCCACACTCAGAGAAAGCAGAGCAGCAAATTTTGTAAAACGTTTAGGTTTTTGCCAATCTGGTGGTTAAAAAAAAGGTGTCCCGCCGGGTTCGGTGGCTCAGCCTGTAATCCCGCGCTTTGGGAGGCTGAGGTGAGTGGATTGCCTGAGCCCGCAGGTTCGAGATCCACCAGGGCAACTTGACGAGACCTTCTCTCTACAATAAATCAAAAAATTAGCTGGGCGTGGTAGCGCCTGCCTGTAATTCTGGCTACTCGGGAGGCTGAGGCGGAAGGATTGCCGGAGCCCAGCAGGTCGAGGCTGCAGTGGTCAGGAGCGGCCACTGCACTCCAGTCTGGGCAACAGAGTGAGACTCCAACTCAAAAAAAAAGACAAAAGGTGTCCCCATGTAATTTTATTTTTGAAACTTTTTGAAAGTTGACCAGGCAGTACAACCAAGATGGAGACCCTTCACTTGAGCCATTGACCAGGCTGGACATTTCTTGAAGGCCAGAATCCCGTCCTCCTCTGCTCGTCTGTCATGCCTGGTTTATAGAAATAGCTCATTTATTGATTGGAAACATAAAGAAGGAAATGGCGCTACTGCAAGTTACTCTGTTGAAAATGACTTTTTAAATCTTCATGATTTTTAAAAATCTTTTCTGGAACCAACATAAGGTTTATTCACACATGGGTTGACCCATTTTCACATGGAAGTTGTCGCCTGTGGGTACAGAGCATGCGATTTACTTGATGGACCCAAGTGTTCATCGGCGGACAAATGGATAAGAAAAGGTGGTACTTGTCTACCATGGAATACCATAAAATGAAATCCTGTTGTTTGCAGCAGCACGGATGGAACTGATGGCCATGATGAAATGAGCCAGGCACAGAAAAAGACAAATACTGCAGGCTCTCACTTACATGTGGGAACTAGAACAGTGGATCCCACGGAGGTAGAGAGTAGAGTGGTCGTTACCAGAGGCTGGGGAGGGTGTGTGGAAAAGGAGAGTGGAAGAGGTTTGTTCATGATGTGTCTGACTCATAACTGGAATGGGACCCCCTTTGCCTGCAGGCCTTTGATATTCCTGAAGCCGTGAGATTTGTATTCCTCCTGACCCCTCAACACGTTGGCTCTTTGATGCACACACCTCGTTTGCTGACTGAGCTTAGAATGGTGACAAGAGGGTTTTCTTTCAGTAAATATGCATTGTTTCTATCTTAAACCTGACTCATTTCTGCCTCAACCCAGGAGATAAAATCCCTTTGGAGCCACATACGTGCCCGTTCTCTCTCAGGAAGAGGAAGCTGCTTTGCTGTGGTCCAGTAGGAAGCATAGGGTTTGGGGACAAGCATGGATCTCGGTCTGTTTCCTGGACTTGACTTGAGGATCCTAGCATCTCCAAGTCTTAAGTTCCTAGTGAAGTAAGGAGGTTAAAGGAGAGAGATGGTGTTTACCACACACATAGGAGGTGCTCCTGAACTAGAACAGTTTCACAGAAATATAGAAAACTAGTTGGCATCTGTGTGCATTGGTCAGAGTCTGTTCAGGAGTCACCAGACTACAACCGGTGGGCTAGATCTGGCCTGTCACCTGTTTTTGCCATGAAAGTTTTATTGACACACAACCACGCCCGTTCATTTTCATATTGTCTAAAACTGCTTTTGTGCTCCACTGGTAGAAGTGGGTGGTTGCATAGACCACAAAACTGAAAATATGTACTAATCGGCCCTATGTGGAAAGAATGGCAGGCCCCTGCTCGGTCCCAGTGACTTATTGTTGGTGCAAGATTGAGGCTAAAACCTAAGTCAGTTATACTTTTTATTCATACTCAAATTCTCCAAAGTCTGGTCACTGGTCCAGCCTCATGAGCGTTTCCCAGATCTCAGCAGGCCTGGGAATCTGCCCTTTCTTAAGCAGTCCTGCAAGCTCTCATTCTAGAAGTGAAGACACAGGCTCTGGGTACCCCCAGTGCTCCCTTAATCTCTCAAATGTCACGAGCATCCATCAGAATGACAGTAATCTCACTCACAGTCTCCTGGGAAGCAAGTTGTACAACTTTTGCTCCTAGGCTGATCTGGTAGTTAAAAAGAGGTGTCTCCGTGTAATTTTACTTTTGAAACGTTTTGAAAGTTGACAAGGCAGTACAACCAAGATGGAGACACTTCAGTAGAACCGTTGACCAGGCTAGACATTCCCATAATCCCAGGCTTTCCATGTTTGTAAAAAAGGGAAGAGAGCTTTTGTGTTTTACCAATCATTTCCCTCCTGATGTAAAGGAGCAGAGGTGAAGTGACGTACGCAGCGTGGAGGTGTCCACCACCCCCTTCTAACTGTGGCTTTGTGCTTCTGCCTGATCCCACAGCCCCCCATTGTGCCCAAGGTATCGAGCGATGGAGATACCTCCAACTTTGAAAGTTATCCTGAGAGTGACTGGGACACCATCCCTCCTGTGCCGCAGAAAGACTTAGAAATCTTCAAGAATTTCTGAGGACAGGAACTCGCATCTGGAAGGTATATCTTTATTTTTAGTAACTGCCAACAAGTAAGGTTGACTCTGTCCCATGTCCAGGTGAGGTTGTGTTTACCAAGTGGGGCTCACCTTACCCATTGGTGTTTGGTGCTTTTTGCCTTTGAGCTTTTTTGGGGGGGTAGTTGTTGTTGTTCTTGAGTCAGAGTTTCACTCTGTTACCCAGTGTAGACTGCAGTGGCCTGATGATGGCTCATCACGGTCTCGACCTCCCGTGCTCAGGTGATCCTTCTACCTCAGCCCCCTGAGTACCTGGGGCTAGGGGTGCCATTGTGCCCAGCTCATTTTTTAAAAAATTTTTGTGGAGCCGGGCTCGGCGGCTCAGCCTGTAATCCCGCGCCTTTGGGAGGCTGAGGTGAGTGAATTGCCTGAGCCCGCGAGTTCGAGACCCGCCTGGACAACTTGGCGAGACTTCATCTCTACAATAAATTTTAAAAATGAGCCGGGCATGGTAGTGCACGCCTGAAATTCCAGCTACTTGGTAGGCTGAGGCAGAAGGATCGCCGGAGCCCAGCAGGTCAAGGCTGTGGTGGCCGAGAGCGGCCACTGCACTCCAGTCTGGGCGACAGAGTAAGACTCCAACTCAAAAAAAAAATAAAATAAAAAAATTTTTTGTGGAGTTGGGGGGGGTCTCACTATGTTGCCCAGGCTAGTCTCGAACTCTTGGCCTCCTGATGTGCTGGTATTATAGACATGAGCCACCATACTGGGCCTTATCTTATCCATTTGGACATAAGTGATGGGCAGAGCACAATGCAGTTCTTCCCAGGGTCGACGTGAGAAACACCCCCCTGCACGTGCCCCTTGCTCACTGTGGTTCAACAGCATCAGCAGCTCGCTCCCCAGTCAGACCTTCTGGGTCAGAGCCTGTACACCTCTGTGACATTTGAGAAGGGCAGCGGCTCTTCTGGTTTCTCTCCCGGGAACCCTAAGTGACAGACCCGCTTCTTCACCATACTGACAAGTCTTTCCAGTAGTCCTTTTAGATTCCTTTTGGCTAAAAAGAAGAATAAACATGCCAGAGGATATCTCGTACGAAATTTGCTAACCTTAATCCAAGATGACTGAAAAAGGATGTTGAGTCTGTTATTCCCTGGAGCCTTTGATGGTCTGTTATTATTTTGTAGTATGGGTAGCAAAGTTACTTCCAGTTACTCCCCAATTCTAAGTTGTTTGGTTGTGTCACTTACATTTCTTCCTATAGTATCCAAGCAAGAAAAATAGCCAGTGAAGGCAGAGAAGCAAAATATTGTCAGTGATTTGTCTACTCGTTCACATAGCTGGATTCTTCTGCTTTGATTCTCATTCTCATAATTTTCCAGTGGTTTTTCCCAGTTATGTGACATGGAAAGCTCATTGGTTCACGAAAGCCATTCCAGTTATGTGACATGGAAAGCTCATTGGTTCACGAAAGCCATTCCAAGCAGACACCAAATCTCACAACTATTGCTGAAATTTGGGAGGGAGGAACTTGCCCGCAAGAGAGAGGGTGCTCTCCTGCTGTTACCATGGCTGTGCCAGGAAAAAACACCAAAAACTAGATAAAAGTTCAAATGATAGAGAAAAACATGATAAAGGAATAGGTGGCTATGTCTGTGCCCCTGAGAAAATGACGTGTCTGTGTGGCATAGTCTAACCTCTCAGTGCATGCCGGATACTTTGACGACGGTGACTGGTTTGTGTTAACATGAGCTTGTGTGACTTTATCAGGTTCATCAGAGCTCGTGAATTCCAGTTGCGGCTTTTAAAAATCATCAGATGTTCCTGAACCCGTTTCCTTCTCTGTGTTTGTGGTTTCGATTTTGTCTGACTTGCCCAGAGCATGTGTTATAAACACGTGTACCCAGGAAATCTTTAAGATGGCAAGAGAGACTCGGTCTGTTTTAGAATGAAAGCCCCTTAGTTACCAAGCCACAAGTATAGAGCCTTTCTCTAATAAAGATGCCTGATGCGTGAAATTTACTTAAGGAGACAAAAAGCCTCCATCTGATGGATTTATGTCCTATAAGCGTGAATACTTTTATCACATCCTGCCCCTGCTGACCCAGCTATTCTATAAGGACAGTCCACAGATGAGAATAACCTCTCTCAATGTCATGTATTTTGGGGAGAGGATGCATAAATATTTGTGCTAAGTGGAATCATTTTTAATATACTTTGGCTGATGGTAGGAGCGCTGTTTTAATGAAACTTTGGATAAATCTTTGGAATCAAGAGGTCATTTCATGATCAAATAGCTTTCTATTTATTTGACAGATTTGCATTTTGCTCTTGTCTTCTAAAAGCCAGATGTGACTTTAGTCTATCTCGGTAGTTTTAGGGAAAGTAATTTGCACACCAAAGGCATCCCTGGGGTTTTCGGTGAAGAGGGGTTAGGTGCAGGAATTCCGTGCAGGAAGATATTTCTTGTGTGAAGCCAAATCTTCTCCTGGAGATAAGACACCAGTTAAGGTTAATCATAGCACTCAAGAGTTGCTTAATAACTGTATGCTGTAACCTTTCGTCCTTCTTTGAATCACCTCACATGCTTTTCGGCTTGTGGGGGAGGAATTTATAATGGGCTTACTTTCCATTTTATTTTATTTTTATTTTATTTTGTTCTGTTTTATTTTATGTTTTGTTTTGTGGGGGGTTTTGTTTTATTTTATTTTATGTTATGTTATATTATGTTTTGTTTTATTTTGTTTTATGTTTTGTTTTGTTTTATAAGTCAGGGTCTCACTCTGTCCCCCAGGCTGGAGTGCAGTGCCACAGTCACAGCTTACAGCAGTCTCGACCTCCTGGGCTCAGGTGATCCTTTCATCTTGGCTTCCTGAGTAGCTGGGACTATAGGTGTACTCCACCATACCAGGCTAAATTTTTGATTTTTTTTTTTTTTTTTTGTAGAGACAGGGTCTTGCTATGTTGCCCAGGCTGGTCTTGAACTCCTGGACTCAAGCAATACTTTGGCCTCGGCCTCCCAGAGTGCTGGGAGTATAGGTGTTAGCCACTGTACTCAGGTATTTTACTTTGTAATAAAATACTTTCTGTCTTGCTGGAAGTTTCTCTGGTGAAGACCTTGAAACAGGGCTCCCATTTTGCTTGGGCAGGTTATTGTCTATCAGTGTATTAATCCATCTATTTATGAAGGAGCATATTACATAGCATTTAAAAACCTACCCTTAAGACACCCTTCGGTTCCTTTTTATTAGACATCTTCTCTCTTTTAGAATTGAGGTTACGGATTTTTGCAAAAAGAGTTGCAAAGAAAAGCTTTTTGTTACCACTTATCAAAAGGAAACCTTGTGTTATTACTAAGACGATGGTGATGACAATTACAAAATTCACCCAGTTACCTAGAAACTAACAGGACCCTCTGTCTTATTTCATGCTAGAAATGGGAAGATTTGAGCCTGCTCGGAACAAAGAACTGCATTTAAATGGACCAGAAGCATCTTCTTGTGTGACAAGGACATTTCTACTTTTAGTATGCCCATATGTATATAAAGAGATTGGAGAGCGGATGGAATCCACAGAACTGGCATTATTTAAACAACTGGAAACCTGCACTGTAGGAAGTTTTTGAAATGTTGTTTGGTTGTAGATTTTATCTTATCCTTTAGCGTTGTGTTCGTACTGTGACTTCTTGGTTTTTCCCATAGACTTAACTTTGTAAGTTTGAACTGGACTTGTTCGATTATAACCACAAATTGTGCGGGCATGTGGCATGTGTGTGTGTGTGTGTGTGTGTGTGTGTGAAGATATTATGGTGGATGCACAAAAATTATGTCTTGATGTAAATGTTCCTACTTTGCAGAGCCTGTAATTTTTATTTTTATTTTTTTCCAAAACTCTGTTCTCGGGGACAAATTCTAAAGAGTACATTATATGCATTTTTAAAAATCATCTATATGCATTTTATAGTCTGGGGAAGAAAGGTATCACATAGAGGTTTCCATCCAGTATCCTCCGTGCCCCTACCTGGTAACTTGAGACTTTGAAACAAGAAAGATTCTTGGGAGTGAATTTATTCCAAGAATTGCCAATGATATTAACATTGTTGGAAGAATGTACTGTATTAAAAAAAAAAATCCTGTGTCACATGAAAAACTGTCATATGGCACAGGGGAATGGCTACCTATTAAAATTTCAGTTTAGCCCCTTATCCCCCAAACAAAATGCGCCTCCCAAAGCTCACAAATAACTCTTAAGGTTGACTCAATGGCGTGGATGTCCTTCCTGCAAAAAGCAAACAAATAGAAAAAGGACCTTGAGTTTTGGGGAAAGCAAGAAAAACACACTCTATGACACTGGCCACGACGCATTTATCACTGAACACAGGTCTTCCCACATAAGCATCCCAGACGTGGCGTAAGCAGAGGTCCCAGGAACTGGGCTGTGGATCGTCCGTTTTCTTCCTGTTCTTTCTCTTTACCTTCCCCATTCTACACTCAGCTGGAAAAACACAAATGGCTCCCCCTTCTCTGTGTACTCTGATTCAGCTCCAACGTGGCGGTGCGCATATCAGTTGTATGTCGGGAATGCATGGAAGAAGTAGGATCTGGAACCTTCCAGGATGGCTTGGTGACAACACGATCCGACCACCCAGCCCTCTGAAACCTCCTCCTTCACTGCTTCCTTTTCTCTGGTGCCCTGCCTTTATCCTTTATCCGGCTCCTTCTGGACCCAGAATGGGGCCAGATCATGCCTTTGGCATGTGCTAGGGAATGTGGCCACGGAGAGGGAGGATCGGGTGCCCTCAGCTCTTCATCCCTCTCAAACCTGGATACCTCAGGGTGTTGGAGTCGCCCCGTGGGTTCCCCACTGTTGGAGTTGATGTCCTGCGGGATGCCCGGGAGGAGGCTCCTCCAGGAAGGACTCACTGGCTCTCTCCTGCTCGCACGGCTAGTTATGGCGAGCTTCACTTATAAGGAAAAGTCATCACTTTCTGAGCAGCAAGATGTCGGAGGAAATGCAGTCACCTGTCAGAGTTGGCCAGGGGCTGCCCACCAATAAGAAGTCTCCGTGGTTTTCAAGGGGGAGTGGAGAGAACTTGCATCGTAAAAGGGCTTTACACGACAGCGAAATTGAAGAAAGAAAATACACCCCTCCCTTCTCTCTGCAGAGAGGTCAGCTTAGTAGATGCGAGTGATTAGAGGATTCAGTAACATCAACTCTTTACAAGTAATAACTCAGTGGAAAATTATGTTCAGACGGGGAGCTGTGAAGATGTTTTGGAGAACTGTATTTTCATTTTGCCTTTCAAACATCCTACTTGGATTGAAACTTGAGGGCCTAAATTAGCTAAAAATGTAGCATGCGGTTTCTGATTGGTTTCATCAGGGAATGTTAGAAGGTTGCTTTGTGCACTGAGATGTGGACCTAGAAGGAAAAGTTTAAGCCTCGCGTCCTGTGACTATAAAAATAATTATTATCATCTGTGAGCATTCACCTTAAAATAGATCAATGAAACCCCTTCTTGCATTACAGTTAAAAAAATTCCATAGACACACTAGTCCATATGCCTACTTTTAGGTTTTGTTCCTATTCTTTGGATTCACGACGGAGATGAAAGTTAGCACCAATGCCTTAATTTTGAACAGATAATGCCTGAAAATCCTCTTTACGAACACTGCAGTCAGCCTCCAGCCATACAAAACAAATGAGACATTAAAAGGAATTCCAAGAACACCGCTCGACAGCGGGCACATTTCACATGCCACGTGCTAACTGCCCAGGGCGAGGCCATCCATTAAACAGTGTGATGTCATGTAAAGACTGGTTTAACCCAGATGAGCCGGAAACACGGGACAATGACTGTGTTTAACTTAAAAATAGTTTATCTTGGTGGGCATTCTGAAATTCTCATACAGATGACCAAATACAATCACTGTGCAAAATGGTGGGGGAAATTTCCGAAAATAGCCACAAAACTTATACTTGAAAAAAACGTATGGATTTATCTCATTTCATGTCATCTGGTGAGTTGCCAGTGTTTTCTTAAATGAGAATGCTGTAGGAAATGTATATATCGCCACAAGAGGTATATTGGGGCAGGTCTTGTGCTCCCAAGGGCTTTGATTCGCAGCGATAAAGCCAGAAAGAAACAGTCACCCCTGATGGTGATACGGCATGTCTACTGTAGATTTGCATTGCTCTACTTCCACTTGCTCCCAACCAAAGTTTAAGTCCTGCTCAGCAGAAACACATCCACGGCCAGCGCTGGGCAGATTGTGATTTTGCCAGCAGCAGAGTGAGATTGCACAATCGACACCATCAAAATGCTATAAGACCCCGCTTCCAGTCCTGCCTGCAGCTACCGCACAGTCACTCAGTGGAGGTCTAGTGTAGCATTCTGCTTCACGCGGTCGCCTCTACTTCAAGACTGAACCATTTGAAATCACTACCCGTTAAAAAATCACCAGTAGCACTCACTGTTGAGTGGGTTGGATGTGTTTGCCATTACTGTGTTTG